TTTCTCAGAGTGAGTATTTTTCTTTCTTTAATTAATTTAAAGTTTAGTACTGACCGTGTTTATGTTTTTATCAAAGAAGGAAGTGTATATTTATTGTCAAGTTCCGCAATTTTCAACTTTAGCAGTTCGGAGTGCGGTTGGTGCAATAATTGGTGTGCCCATCGTCTGTGCTTGCGACTGACGGCCAGGCCGCAGGGGGATATGCCGTTTAGCATTTGCCTTTACTGGCCAGGCTGTTAATCTGCACAAAGTATAGACAAGTTTAGTGGAATGACGACGCACGGTAAAAACAATGTTTGATTTTTTGAGGAAAAATTGAAAACTCTGAGGAACTTCCCTATATGAGGAAGACACTCCCAGAAACTGAGGGAAATTCCCACAATTTTTGAGGAGACTTACACACAATCTGAGGAGTTTCCCTGAAACTGTTCCTCAAAGTTTTCCCCTTCCCGTGACACGCAGCAGGCTCTTACCCTCGTCCGCTTGAGCAGCTCGGCGTGCGCGGCGGCCACGTCGCGGCCGCCCCAGGCGCGGAAGGCGGGGCCCTGGAGGGCGCGGCCGAAGGAGAAGGTCAGCGGCCACGGCTTCCTGCAGGGGAACTTGTTGATGGCGTCCAGGTTGGCGGTGGCCTCCTGGTCCGGCAGCCCGCCGGACAGGAAGGCGATGCCGGCCACGGCGGCGGGCACGGTGCGGCTGAGGGCCGTGGCGGTGGCCCGCCCGATGTCCTGGGCCGAGCGCCTGGTCGGGCAGCCCTGGCCGGGGGTCACCATGTTGGGCTTGAGGACGGTGCCCTCCAGGTACACGTGGTGGTCGTGCAGCGCCTTGTAGACGGCGGCCAGCACGGTCTCCGTCACCTTCTGGCAGCGCTCGATGTCGTGGTCTCCGGCCAGAAGGATCTGCGAACGAAGTCACAGTTAACAGATAAACATCTTCGCAAAATAAAAGGCCATTCAAGGTTCCAAAAATTTCATAAAAGAAATAATCACATTTTCTGTGAAAATTGTTTTCAAAAAATATGGGTTATTTTAAACTAAATTTCAGTGAAACTTTTCATTGGGATTTTCCAATCAGCCTTATCCGCTTGGTACGTACGTCAGGCTCGACGATAGGGACAAGGCGGTTGCTCTGGCACACGGATGCGTACCGAGCCAGCACGTTCGCGTTCTCCAGGATGGCCTGGTATGAGGGGGTGTGGGCGCCGATCTTGAACACGCAACGCCACTTGGCGAAGCTACAACCCGCCTTCTTGTACTGCGCGCATCGCATCGCGAGGTCATCGAGCCCTTGGGGAATGAAGAGGCATCTCGTTTCAATAATCGATGGTTCACTTGTAAACATACAGAGGTTGCCGTTAAACTGCCACACTCGTGCCGACGCACGAGGCCCCCTGTCTCACCCTGGGTAGTGGTCTCGTCCTCTGACCCTGGGAGGAGCACGACGCCCTGGTCGACGTTGACGCCGGCGAGTATGTTGCGTCTCGCTAGCAGCTCGACGAAGGGTGTACCATCATCGGCCACCTGCTGCAGCGTCTCGGGGACCATGATGACTCCAGCCACGTGCTGACTTATCTCAGCGTCAGCTGTGAACAGCACCTGTGCGATCGCCGGTGAGATGGAACACCTGCAGGTCCTCTGAACGAGTCCCGTGTTTGGGGCGGGGCCAGGCGGGGCGCTACGAACGCCTCAGCATCACGACGCTTACCTGGCGCCAGCGCCGACGCCCCTCCGCACCACTGTCCACGCCGACGCCCTGCAGCCGCTCGCCCAGGGAGGCCGCCGGGTCGTCGGCCGCGAGGATCCCCTTGCCGGGCGCCACCATGGCCTGGGCGATCTGCCGGAGCTCGCTCTGGAGCGCGGCGCTCGGGTAACTGAAGTGTGTCGTCATCGTGGATCTGTTGCAAAAGCTGTAAGTTTGTTGGTATGAACGGTATACTCTTGGACAAAGTTTAGCGGAAAGAAGTGGCTGCGTCGGGACCAGGGTAGATTGTAAATGGGCACTCAAGCAATGTTCTACTGATACCGCCTCGTCAAGGGGCCCTTCACTCCCAATGGTGTACTATTTAGGGATTATATAACGCGTGATTCTGCGCGTTATCCGGATGCGTTCGGAGTACTTTGCAATACTCATTCGGGCCGGACTGACGCACACAGTTTTTCCAACCCCCACCCCGCGTTCGGAAATTTTAAAACGCACCTTTATTTGTCAACCTGTAAAGCAGTACTGCTGAAGTGTCAACGATGGCGTTAAATGCCAAAAGGTCGAACTTATCACCCACTGAAATGCGACGCAAGGTCAAGGTCACGTAAGCCGTGTTTCAGTCACAGCGATGAGAGCTGTTGATAAAATTAATTCTGAGCAAGAATTGGCAGAAGAGTTTATAGGTGGGTGAGATGGTCTGCAGAATAAAGTAGCAAAATGAAGCAAACTGCATTCGAACCGCATCATATGTCCCATCTGAAAAGCGCATTTTCGGCACATGTACGCGCATTTTAGGCGCCTACACGCGTTTTTGGCGCTTTTTAGACTGGACACAAAATGCACCTTTTATGCAGCTCTGCTACCTAGGTAATAAGACTCTAAACACAACACACTGGAAAAACAAAGGTGCTAAGTCGTGCCTCTCCAGTGCCTCTCCAGGGGTGCTATAGAAATTTTCACTTTAGCGCCTCTATAAAGACACTAATAAGCTAAGGCCTAGTGTGCTAGAGATTGTATGTCTTTGGCTGAGTTAGTGTCTTTGTAAAGGCGCTCAAGCTTTAGTGCATACAAATACAAATGCCTTCAAATGTCTTGTAAGTTGAGGTGATATGTACCATTAAATTGTATTGCAACATCCGTCTTTAAGTGCTAATATATTAAAGTGATACAGCAAACTACCTCCAACCCCCCCCCCTCCCCCAACACACGCGTACATTGTTTGTAATTTGAGCAATATTCTGGTATTCGTACTCACCGATCGACGGGCGTTCTCGTACTGAAGCGCTCTGGCGGCGCGGTCACCGCCCGCCCAGCTGACAACAACAACACCCACCCACTTTTTCAATCTCCAATATCGCGGCAAACTTTCCGTTTTTACTCTCGGCTCGCTGCCGCCTGATAGCGTGGTACGGTGCTTCCCTACCGACCCTAACGTTTTCTGGTTGCCTACATACAGGGGTTTTGTTACGCAAATTGCCTACCTTTCAGGCGACTGTCTAGAGACGACAGG